AAAAACAATCAGTTCTATGTACACGTCCGTAGACGTATTTGTAGATACATGTAGATGTGTCTGTCTCAGTATTTGTACGGCCTGGAGAGAGACGTGGAAGGAAATACCAAAGTCGCCAATATTTGTTACCGGGTAGAATTAGGCTTGGTTGCATGTGACAGAAACTAGAAAAGAAAAGTTGGTTCAAACAAGCCAGCTCCTTCCTCCCCCATGTAAAAAAGTCTGCGGGTGCATGGTCTGGTATGGAAGTTCTAACATGTCACCAGGGACAGAGGCTCCTCCTGGGTCATCATCCCGCTGTCCCACGACATGGCCCTCGTCCTCATGGTTCACGATGATGGTCAGAGTTGCGGCCATCATGCTGACGTGCGAGCAGCAGGAAGGAGGAAGGAAAGAGACAGAGGCTTGCCTTTAGAGGGGGGCTCTGAGAAGTCTCCCACGGCAACCCCACTTCCGTATGTGGCGGCCAGACGTTAGCTGGGAAGCAATGTACCAGCTAAAAGTGGGGGGTTGTTAGAGCAGAGGCTCAGGGGAAGAATGGATACTGAGAATTGTCTACGAGTTATGCACCTGTTACCTTGAGGGACAAAGAGGCAAGACTGTCGTGGAAACAGGGAATGGGGAGGCCAGAAGGTAGAAACAGCATATATGCCTGTAGTGTTTCTTTAAATGGCTTCCCTGCCCCCTCTCGGTCCCCTGTCCTTCTGGGACACCCACACACATACGTTGGTCACTTGCTGCTGTCCCACCGGTGTGCCTTTCCTCAACCCATCTTCCTCCCTCTCCCTCAGACTCCGTAACGTCAACGGTCCTACCTGGGAGTCTTCCTTCTGTCTGTTCAAACCTCCCTCCAAGCCACCTCGTGAATTTTGCATTTCCAATGTTGTCCCTCCTAGCCACAGAATTTACTTGTGGTTCCTTTTCATGTTTTCTATGTCTTGGTTATTTCTATTTTGCTCATTTTTACATTGTTTCCTTGACCCGCTTCACGGTTTCCCTCTCTTTGAGCGTCTTTGGGACAACTGTATTAAAGTCTTTGTCTGGTAGGTTTGCCATCTGGTTTCAGGGACAGCTTCTGTCGCTTTCTCCTTTGATCGGATCGTGCGTTTTTTATGCCTTGTAATTTGTTGTTGTTGAAAACTGGACACTGGAAATTAATAATGTGGTAACTCTGGAAACCAGATTCTCTCCCTTCCTTGGGTTTGGTTTTCTGTTTCTGTACCAGGGATCTGTCGGAGCTAAAAAGTTAAGCTCTTCCCAGATCTTTTGTGAGGCTGAGCCATTCCCCTGGGGCATGCATGGTGACTTTTGTAAACTCCAACAGGCGTGTGGTTGCGTGTGAGTGTCGTAGTCCCTAAATCTCCGCTCCCGAAAGGGGACAAGAGGGGACACAGAAGAGGGTGGGGGCTGGAAGCAGGCTCTGGCCCGCTGCTGGCTGCAGTGACGGCTTCCCGCCAGGATGCTGCAGCTCCGTGATGAGAAGCAGCCATCAACTCCCAGCACAGACCCCCAGGATTGGGAGAACGGGGTCCCCATGGCCATCCTGGCTCCCAGTGTCCACGCTGCTCACGCGAGCCCTGCCACGAGGCTGCGGCGGGCGGGGTGGGGGGCTGCTATCACGGAAGAGCCAAAATTGCAGAAATGAGCCCGGATTCACTATCCACACGGTCGCCTGGACGCTGCAAGCCTCCGAACAGACCCCAGAGTTCCAACGCAGCTGCACCACGAGACGCCCCAGGAGCCACCGTCGCCCAAGTGGGAAGACGCAGGGCTGGCGCTTCCGGCCCCTCCCCCAGCCCCCGTGGCCTTCGTTCTTACACTTCACGCTTTCATTTTATTTTATAAAGGTTATTACAAATAAAAGGATATTTTACTTGGAAGTAAATTTGCATTTGCTTTATGCTTATGAAAGGTTGCACATAACTGATGGTCTTTTGGATTTCTCTCCTCTTGTCTGTTTACAGCCTTTGTCTATTTACTTTTTCTGTTAAGGAAGGTGGTATTTTTTTTTTTTTAATCATGACAAGTAAATAATTCAAGCAAAGGGTGCTGGCACGCCTAAATCAAGCCTGGTCGTCTTTTGTAGTTTCGCAGGCAGTGAAAGGGGAGTCGCGTGGTAAGAGTCACGCCGTTTAAAGTACAAGGGATGTGGAAAGAAGGGACACGACACAAAAAATCTGGCCGAGCTCTGTTGAAACCGGTCTATTCCGACTTTGCCGGTGGCAAGGTGGAACCTTTTAGGAAGCAGCCCAGCTACACAAATATTTAAATCCGTTGTCTAGAAGTTCTTCTTAGACTTGAACTTGAGAAAATAAAGACATACCCGCAGGCACAATAGGTAAGCATTGCCGCCTTGTTGGAAACGACCAAGGGCCCAACCACAGAAATCTGGCTTAAACGAGGTACGGTCTCCTCCACGGGCAGTTCTACAGTCACTGACAGTGGGTGTCCGGCACCATCCCGGGAAAATTTTCATGATATCACGTCGGCTGTACACGGAATGCCTGCTCTGATTCAGCTACGCGAAAGTCACTGGGGCATGTGGCCAAGGACTGTAAGAAGAACCAAACAGGGGCCAGGCGGACGGGATGGGGATGGGGGACAGGGGACAGGATGGGGGACAGGGATGGGGGGCGGGGACGGGGGAAGGGGGACTGGCACAGGGGCTGGGTAACCGGGGAGGGAGCCTCCTCTCTGCTCTAATTTCTATTGTCTTCCTGATGTTTCTACAGCAATTAAAGGGGGGGAAAACGGAGTTGGTTTGAGGGGAGGAAACAGACAGGAGCTACAAATGCATCATGAAACAACACAATCTGATTAGGAAATTCCACTGGCCGGTTCTACAGATTGTTGGTGGGAAACCCTGGGGTCTGGCTGCGCCCCTGAGTTTGGTGAAGAGGAAACAGGCCTGCTGTCTGTCTGGGCAAAGTGCTCCAAGATGATATGAGGTCTTGACCCCGCGGGGCGCCAGAGGGGCAGGGAGTGCTCCCTGAGGGCAGCCCAGTTCACCCATCATCCTCAACCGCCTGTCACCGGGTCCCGGGCACGGCCCCGAGACAGCGTAGTCAGTGCCCGTGCAAAAGCCACGATGCGAATGGGCGCCTGGTCTCCCCTTGAAACCGATCGCACGGGGGCATGTATGCGTCGCATTTCTGCTGCCCACTTGGGATGCGAGGGCCGTGTCTCCCATCACAGCCTCGCGATTCTTTCCGACGGCCCCCTTTTCCCACAGAAATGGGGAAGAAGGGAGCTAGCAGGTAACGTTACCTTTAAGGTCCTGCGGGGGGACATGAGGACCCCACCGACGACTTTGAGAAACACGCACTTCATCACCCCCACCCCCTCCCCGGGCAGGCAAGGACTCCGAGGTCCAGGAGGCACGGCCAGAGCTCAAGGTCACGGAGGTCATGACTTGTGGCTAGGCTGAGAACTCCTTCAGACGTGGCCTGGCTGCTGGTCCAGCCACCCCCGGCCCCGGAGAGGGTCAGAAACCGCCCACAGTCCCAGTGTCACAGGGGAGCAGGGAGGGGCCGGGCATCCACCTAACCCCTCCTTGCCTGGTGTCCCCCTCCCCAACTCCAGGGCACAGGGCCACGACACAGGAGGCTTCTGATGCTGCTGCAGTCCCGGGGGAGGAGGGAGGAAGAGCCTCAGAAGCTGAAAAGGCCCCCTCACTCCCCAGGGACGACACCGACCAACCCATCTGCCCTTAATGAAACCATTAGCCTTTCATTTACGGACTCAGCCAAGCCTGGAGTTAATCTATGCAACTTGCTCCTTTTCGCTCTTTCTTTTCTTTTCCATGTCCCCCCTTTTCTTTTATCAAGGAGAAGTTTGAAAAAGTTTTCTTATAGCTTAAAAAAAAACCCATGTATTTTTCTCGTTCATGGCTCAGGAGAGGTGTTCTGGTGCCCCGCGCAGCACAGCACAGGTGCGGAGGACTTTACAGCAATGCACAGCCCCCAGAACAAAGATCTCGTCTCCTCTCCATCCTCTGCCTTAAGCCAGGCTCCCTCCTGCCCCAGGGCCTTTGCACAAGCCCAGCCCTCCACCTGTGCAGCTTTCCCACGACCTTTAGACTTCAGAGGAAATGTCCCCTCAGGGAAGTCCCCCCACTTCCTCACCCTCTGGAGGCGGGCCTCACAGGGCAGAGCACAGCCTGCGACTATGTTGGACATTTGCCTGTTTCCTCTCTGAAAACCCCACGAGAGCAGGAACTGGGGTATCTGTTCCACAGCTGTAGCATCAGATCCCAGCTTATACTTGATGCTCAATAAATACGCGTGGGAGAACGGCTGCTCCAGTCTGCGCTTCTAAATTATAAGCACCGAGGATAGAGGTCTGCGAAGCGGGCCGTCCGATGTCCTCTGGAGGGAGATGTGGCATGAGGCTGGTCTCAGACTCACAGGGACCTGGGTTGAGACCAGCTTCGGTTTCTTACTAGCTGTGTGACCTCAGACAGGTTACTGAGCCTCTCTGAGTGTCAACCAGAGATTTGAAATGGGATGGGAATACCACCAGCGGGGGGGTGGGGGGGCACGGTGGAGTCTGGCCCCGAGGCAGGGCTGGGGGGGCAGGGTCTAGGCCGCCCCCACCCCCCTCCCTGCCTGCCCAGCAAAGGGGAAGGAAGTGGCATTAACTGAGCACCCGTAGGCATAGCAGGCGGCTGGAATGCAGAGGTGAGTAGAGCAGAAACTGCCCCGTGCCTGCAAACCCCAGATGAAAGGAGGAGGTGGCTGGGGGGGATCCCCAGCTCCCTGAGGTCGGAAGGAGGCCCTAAGGCCGGATGGAGCTGGGCGCACGCGAGGCCGGAGCGGACAGCGTGTGAGCAGAGTGGCTGCGGGAGGCACAGCCGCTCTGGCAGACGGGGCAGCGCGGGTCGGGACCCGGCCACGGGGCCGGGCGCGGGGGACCCCTCTTACCTGTGGCAGCGCGTACTTTGGAAGCTTCATCAGGACAAACTCGTTGCGACGGTAAGAGACGTAATATTTGGTCCGGTTTGTTGCGGTGGCCTAACGGGACGGAAGAAGACAAACCCAGGGAGCCTTTGCAGTCAAGCCGGGCCACAAGCGGACGAGTGGGACGCTCTAAATCGCGCGTCAGCTGGCGAGAACGCCCGTGACTTTGCTCACGCCTGCTCTGCGTGAGATGCAAAGACTCGTCCTCATCCTTCAAAGCCCGACACCAAACGTCCACCCTCCGGGACGTCTTCTCCACCTCCGTCTGTGAGAACCAACCTCCGTCCCCACGCTCTCCCAGCACCCGTTTCCCAAATCCAAGCGACGGAAGGTGGAAGGGGTTCTTTGGCCCAGAACTCCTCTTCGGGAGGGTGCGCGGAGGGCCACCGGGGGGGGGATGGCAGACCGCCAAGCGCGAAGTCGCTGTTTTGAAGATCTACTAGCGAGGGCGCGAGGCATGAGCCGCGGAACAGGAGGCAACGCTCGCTGAGGCCGCCCGCACACGTGCTGGTTCCCATCTCGAAGATGAGAAAACCGAGGCACAGAGGTAGTGAGTTGTCTCCTCCTCCCGTGGGGAGCAGGGGGGGTGGGAGAGGGCAGGGGCAGTCACCGGGATGAGGGCAGAGGGCGGTGGCCGGGGGGACGATGGGTGACATCTACGTCTCACCGTATGTGCGTGCCTGTGGGTGTGCACCCATGCACGTGTGTGAGTGTGAACGTGTGACCCCCCCCGGGTGTGTTCACCGTGTGCATGCACGTGGGGGGGGTGTCTTCTATGTCTGAGTGAGCACGAGTTGTGTGTGTGTGTGTCTGTGCGTGTGTGTGCGTGCAGGTGTATGTACATGGCAATGCAGGTCACTGCTTAGGAGCATAGGCCACCATGTGTCACTGGCCGGGCTCGAATGCCAGCCCCACCATCTGTAAACCAGGTGGCCTTGGGAGAGTTTTTTTGAGCCTCGGTTTCCCCGCTATAAATGAGGAGGACAGTATCAGAAACTACGCGATGGGGCAGTCATGGGGAGCAGGATCTGGGAAGCATGTGGGGCGGCCCCAAGGCCCCAGGAGGACTCAAAGAGCTACTGGAATTATTCTTACTAATCAACAAACTATAACAGGCTCACAATGTGCAAAGCATCATGACTACAAGGATGAAGAGATTTCTCTAGACAATTCTATCCTGAGGGCAAGGGACTGTGCGGTCTGCGGTGGTCTGGCCCTCAGGGCCCCCAGAGCAAGGAGTATTGGGATGGGGGACGTGTGGGGGTCCTGGGAGCTCAGAGAGAGAGTGTCCTGGGGTGGGAGAGGCCAGGCAGACTTCCTGGAGGAGGAGATAGCACTCTGCTTCCTCAGAAAGAAGAGCCAAGCAGCCCAGAGACAGACCTGCTTAGCAGGTGGGGGAGGACTCTGGAGAGAGTGGCTGAGAGAGGTCGGTGCCCCTTCTCAGAGCCCCGTCTGCCAGCCGCTGAGCTCCCCCGATGGAGCAGAAGGCAGGGCCGGGCTTGGCAGCCCTCTTGGCCTCGAGAAGTTCAGGTTCACTGGGGAGCCCTGTGGGCGGATGCTCAGCCAGCCAGGGCGGGCCAGGCCCATTTCTGCCAGGAGCTGGTGGTGAAGACAGCGGGGTCTTCTGGGGCCCTGGTGCAGAAAGAAGGAGGCCTGCAAACATGGTGACCTTCCTCATCCACCGGCCACGGGGGGAGGGGGCTTGTGGGGCGGGCAGAACCGCCAGTATCCCTGAGACGTGAATGCGACTTTTAGCCCAGGGAACAGAACGCACTAAACACAGCCACATCCTTCACACAGGAGTCTGCCCCCCGCCCCCCGGGTGCCACAGCGTTTCTTCCCCAAATGGCGGGTCACCGGCCACGTCCAGCAGGCCCTCTCCCCACGTGAACGCAGCTGGCATCCGTCCCGGGCCTCCAGGCGGCCAGGACCTGTCACGCCCATTTTATGGGTCAGCAAGTAGAGGCTCAGAGGTGGAATGATGGCTCTTCCCAAAGCCAGCCGTGGCACCATTAGGTTCAGACCCCCACCTGTCTGTCCCCTGCAAAGGAACCAGCACCAAGAGCCGCTCAGCACCTCCAGGGGGGACCCAGGAAGCGGACTTTCAGGTTCATCACATACTTTGTTGGTGGTGAGGGCTGGTGGGAGGGGCCACCAGGCACCTGCCGGATCCTCTGAGGTCCAAGAAGACAGGGAAGAGAGTACAGCAGGGGAGGCAGGACTAGCTCAAACCCGCCCAAGATCAGTCTGCAGGGGAGCAGCGTCCCCACGACCTCCAAGTTGGGGGTTAAGACAGCTTTTCTGGGCAGCTTTGGAGAAAGATGGGAACCAGAGCAGGACAGGACAGGAGGCGGATGGAAGTCTGCGGCCCCTGACGGCCCGAGCAGGTGCTGGGGGCCCCCGGTGCTCATGGGGCAGGGTGTGCCCCTGTCCCACATCGACAGTGTCTCCGGTCACTGGTCAGACCAGGCCACCATGACCGTGAGGAATGGAGACCAAGCCCCAGCTGCAGTCCCGTCCGAGCTCAGGCAGAGCAAACCCCAGGGATGAGCAGGTGCCCTGACTGTGGTGGGCGGGGACTGTTTCTTCTCCCACCTTCCATGTGGCCTGGTGGAGCCCCGCTCCTTACAGATCAGATTTATCCATACGCTCGTGCGCAGCAAGCCCCTGTGTCCTTGTGTGGACGAGGCAGCTGCGGTGATGAAACGTCCCCGAGACAGGGCAAAGAGGAGGCTGAGTGCGGAGGGAGCCTTGGCATTTATGTCGTGGGGTCCCAGGGGGCAGGACAGGGGCTACCAGATGAGAGTAAAGCCAACGCTTTGTGCCAGAATGAACTTTCTAAAGATCTGAGCTATCCAGGAGGGGGACAGGCTGGTTTTGAAGGAGTGAGCTCCTCATCACGAGAAGGAATCAAGAAGCGGTATGATCGGTTATTCACTGGAGTTTCTGAATGGTCAGACCACATGGTTCTTAAGGGTGGTCCCAGCCGTGACCTGAGAACCCACGTGTACGGGCAATGACCAGACAGCCCCTATCAGTCCCAAAGTCAGTGGAACCAGCAGGAGCAAACTGGGCTTGGGTTCGGGGCCCCCGAGCCGTGGGAGGTTGCTGACGGGCAGAGGCGGGGAGGGGCAGGGAACAGCATCCCTGCCTCAAGGCTGTGGCTCTGTGGGGCCCTGGTGGGGGGTGCCAGCAGCACGCGGTGAATGAAGTAGCCTCGGAAGGAAAAGAGCCATTTTCTCGCCTCCCGTCCGAGCGACTGTGTCTCCCCCAGCGTGGCTGACACTCCATGCCACCTGCTGCCCGGTGGCGGAGGCCCAGCCGCAGCCTTACCTTAAAGAAGATGTAGTCGTCCTGCACGGTCAGAGAACTGTGGTCAATGCGGCCTGGGAACAAAGCCGTCAGCGTCTTGTCGGAGCAGCTGTGGATCTGACAGGTGACGTAGCGAAACCCTGCAGGAGATAAGAGCCAGCACTCGGCGCAGGAAACCTCAAACTCCCAGACTCTTGCCGAAGGGCGCGTCAGACACAGCCTCAGACGCGATGCAACGCCGACCCGTTCTTGGCGCCGTCGGATAGCACGGCTGCGGGTTTGGCTTGCGGGTCTGAGTCTCAGGGGGCCCGTCCTGTGGCTGCACCTGCCGCTGAGAGGTGGCCCCTTACGCCTGGCGCGCTTTGCATCCTCCAGACTGTGCTGTCGTGGCCCCATCTTACGGAGGAGGAAACTGAGGCAGAGAGGGAGGTTGGGGAACGTGTCTAAAGCTGGGCCACCCGGCCTGCCGCCAGCTTCTCATAAGGGACGAGCCACGCCTGCTCCTCTGGGGGGTCGTCTACAGACGCTTTCATGCCACAGTGGCAGAAAACCCGAGGGCCGCCGAGCTGACCCCTGATGGGGAATGTCCGCTGACCCCGGGCTAAAGTCGTGCGGGCGGGTGAGTGCCCACCTTCTGCTCACTGCTTCATGCCATAGCGCACCCCCAACTTAAGTGTCCTAGCCTGCTTCTGTCTCCCTGGGAGAAGGACCTCAGACTGGCCCAGACAGAGAGCCCCAGCCCAGGGGCCTGCGCTGGGCAGGTGCACTCACCCACAGAAGGGCAGCACGGGGCCACGGTGGGCACCCACAGCGCCCATCGTGGCACCGGCCCCCTCCTGCCCCCCGGAGCCTCCCCTACCTAAACAGGGGTGCGTGTGGGTGGGACTCAAGTGTCCTTTCTTCCCCTAACCTCAGGCGAACGCTTTCCTCCCTTCGCAAACGCTTACGGTCAGGCAAAATCGAACGCGCACTTTGCCAGGCGGCTGCTGTTTTTATGCCGCATCCTGTTTTCCCAGGGTTTGGGGGTCCCGCGAAGTGGTGCAGGGGGGCCCGAGCCTATGCCGGAGGCGCTCTTTGTTCCAACTTGCGGGGCAGGAGCAGGGTTTAACCGCGGACACCAAAGTGGAGCCCACGAGGGCGTTCCGGGTCATCAGCGCCTTTGGGGCACATCCTGCCACGGCCCTGGTGGCTGGACAGCGTGGACAGGGCCGAGGGGCCGGGCTCGGGGCCAGGAAGACCCCATGCCCGCCTCAGCAGCGGGGTGAACTGGGTTATAGTTGCTCTGCTCCAGCAGAGGTGAGGATTAATGCCAGCCTCCAAGAGTGGGTGGGGCCCCAGGGAGACAGCGGCACACGGGGGACCCACAGTCAGCCACGGCTGTGCCACTGCCCCCCGCTCCTGAATCCCGTCCACGTCCCCGCCAAACGGGCTGGTCGCTCCCTGCGGGCGGCACTGGATTATTTCCTGTCCTGGACTCGCCTGCTGGACACGCGGTGGGAACACTCACCCGGGTCTGACTCGAAGTCACCGCCCAGCTCACACCCCCGTTCTCGGGCTCACACCCTCACCCACTCACCCACT